AATTTTTGGACCATATTTGAACATTTCGAAATGTAATTTCCAGGGATAGATTACTAAGTGCTTGTTGTTGTTGGAGGTGCAACACGATAACAAAGATGTATTGCATGTTCGACATGCTAACGGGACTGTATTGCAGTTTGGTATAAAGGAATTTGCCATTGTAACTCGCCTTAAATGCAAAGAAAATGTGATAGATTTTTCATATCCGAAATCCACTTCGAGCCGGTTACTACAAAGGTATTTCCCTGATTCAAATGCAGGTATAACCAAGAGTCGCTTGATATAACGTTTTGTAATGGGTAATTGGGATACCACACAGGACGCCGTTCAGATGACAATCTTATACTTCATCAATACTTTCATCTTATGCCATCTTAGTGAGACCTCCATAAAGATTGAAAATTTTCTAATGGTCGAAGATGGTACGTATGAATTGTATCCTTGGGAAAGATTGCATTCGATAAGCTAATTACATCACTCAGGCAAGACTTTAACCAAAGCAAACAGATGTATCACTTATTTGGTATGCCTTATGCACTCAATGTATGGATTTACGAATGTGCATCTAGTATAAATCCAGAGATTATTGTTAAAGTAGCGAATGGTATTCCCAAGATTTGTAATTGGAGTGTCGTGGCTGTAAAGCCAAAATATGAAAAGTTTATGTCTAGCATTTTCTTCGAGGTAACATTACTTTTAAATTTGCAATTAACTGTTTTTCAATAAGCTTTCTAATTTTTTTTTGTTAATAACAATTTTTGTATTAGACATAATATTGTATAACATTCAACCATTTTAAAATGCAAAATGCATGTTCAAACATTGTACCAACACAAGATGAAGTTGAGGCCCTTGATTTACCCGATATTCAAGATGCACATACTCCTGAACCATCCACAACAGCAGTGCTACCAAACAAAGTGCAAACAAGGGCTTCCACTTCAGGTTTTGAGGATTTCTCAACAAGCCCTCCTTGTCATTTATTGAGAAAATCATCACATGTGTCTGGTACATTATCTCCACCACCACCCAAAAGGAGAAAGAAAATTAATACACCTAAAACAAAGGTGTCGGAACCTGAATTGCCAGAGCAGTTAAGGCCGCCATTAAACCAGTCATTCTCAAAGCCGGATGAAGCACCTACCCCACCTGCTAATGTATCTTTTTCCCATGTCTCTTCACAAGTACAAAAAGATAAGTCTGTATATCCCGATATTAAAGAACTGAAACAACATATGAAGGAATACCTAAGTAATGATATTAATTTATATTTTTTTTTGCTTATTCATAAATATAAAACTGAATGTTAATTTTTTTTGAATAGGTTTACAGTAAATTTGAGTATCTTGTGAATTTGATAAAGGCAAACCACTCTGAGATGATGAATTCTAGGAATAGGGAGGACGACAAACAACCAAAGGTATTGTGTTGTATATCTGTTTTGTTTGTGTGTTTTAACTTTCATAGCTGATTTTGTTAAAAAATTAATTCATGAAGGATTTGGGCGGCAAGTCTACGCCGTGCATTGTTGAAGTTTCCGGTAAAGAAGTCAATGATGGACATCAAACAAGTACCTGCAACTTTGATCAACAACCAACCTCATCGATACAGATGAATTTTGCCATTAATGACCAAGACATTGGTGTATCTGATTTTGATGTTGAAGATAATGTTTATTTTTACTTTATTCATTGCGGATATCTAATTAAACAATTTATCAGTAACATATTTTGTTTGAAAAAAACTTGTTTAAAAAATTACAGACTGAAGATACATTGAAGAATCATCAAGAAATGAAGGAAGTTTCAGAACTTCAATCATCAGATGCAAATGTTCATCATACTGCAGAAACAACTGAGCATAAGAAGGTACTATTGTCATAATAAATTGACTATTAGTATACATCAACTTTGTAGTGATACATCAAAATGTGACATTATAATACATTGCAGTTTACTTGTGTGATTATGATACTTTACATTTTTAATTATATGTGTATATGATACATTCCATTACAAGATACATACAAGTGTGATTATGATACATTGCAGTTTATTTATGTGATTTGTATACATCAAAATTTTGTGTGTATGATACTTTACATTTTTAATTATGTGTGTATATGATACATTCCATTGCAAGATACATATCAGTGTGTCTAAATAAAATTGATTGTCTACTATATGTAATCTGTCTTGATACATTAATAGTCCTTTTTATATGATACATATGTTGTTTAATGTATCATAAATTGTACAATATATTGTTATTCAGAATGATCCAACAACACAAATTCCTCAACAGTTCTTCGAAGGAACAATGAATGAAGATGCTTCATATAAAATTCAACGTAACACTAATCAGTCTGTGTCAGATACTGCTACATTTGATACATTGGTAATTTATGCTTTATGTATCATTTATATATCATATGGTTTATCAAATCTTATTTAATTATCAATTTGAATCATATAGGATTCTACAACATCTGGTACAATATCATCTGAAACTCGAGAAGCCATGCATACACTTATTGCTGATCTAGGAAGATTGCCTATTCCTGTTAAACCAGTTAGTGCAGCAAATCCACAAGAGTTAACCAATAGCCAAATTTTTCTTTCGGACAGTCAATTACCCACTGATATTCCAATCATAGAGATTGTTGTCCGAAGCAATACAAATACTCCTCTTGCACGTATCAGGATGCCTTCAAAAATCTGCAAATCTCCTTATTTGACTTCATTTGGGTCAAGTGAAAAAGGAAAAGAGGTCACGGAGGATGTAATCCGTCCAGATTTTCCATTTGAAGGTTGTGAGATTACAAATCAAGCCCCGTCATATCTGATTGATGAGTTTATTGAGTGGGTTACTACAGGTCTTCTCAAAACACATGCCAAAAAGTAAGTTTTATACTTTTTACTACATTTTTTCAATTTTGAAATTACAAATCTTGTTGCACTTTTAAATAACATCTTTTCTTTACACTTTATAAAACAAGAAATCAACAGAGGATAAGTACAGAGCAAAAGCCTCTTCATTAGGTTTTGAAATGATGGATTATGTTGTTGCATATCCGTCCAATAAAAATTGGTTCTATGCCATGTCCCAACCCAAAAACTGATGGACTGATCAGGTAAATATGACATGTATATGTAAATTTCATGTTTCTGCTACATTAAATTGAAATGTATCATATATAGTTATCTTGATGTATATGATACATTCATTTAATAGGTGTTATATACATATTAATTCAGTATCTAACATTTTATTTTCATGTTTTTCTTTTTAAATGTATAATTATGTTTATAATATTTTGTGTAGCACATGAATGTTGTTTTTTACTATCTTCGTAAAAAATCAAAACTTCGCAACATGAATCAATACAGATACACAACAATCAATTGTTTGTTCAGTTCACATATCAACAATACCCATGAAAGATATTATAACAATGTGGCTGATGATGATATTAGTACCCAAGAACACATTGATCGTGTTGTAGCTATATCTGCACATCAGAGGTCAATAACCAACGTCATGAAAGGATTTTCAAAACCAGTTGCGTTACCATGACATCTTGTGGACGATGTTTACATTCCGGTTAATTGTGATGAAAAGTTCCATTGGGTGTTAGCTGTTGTTGAGTTGAATCGGAGGTTGATACGCGTGTATAACTCTTCTATAGGCACAAGGAAACAAGTACATTATGAGGAGATAAAAAAGTTGTCAAGGATGCTACCTTCTTACCTCCTTGACAGTGGTTTCTTTGAAAAAAATGAGCGGACAATCTGGCCAGAACTTGATGCATATAAGGACAAACAAACTGGTACACTTTTGGAGTCACATATTCCTTTCAATATTGAATACGTTCAAGGCATCATGCAACAAGAAGAGGATAACATGTAAGTATTTAAATTATTGACTACAATCATATGTGTAAGTTTTTTTTTACAAATTTTTATTCTGCATTTTGTTGTAGGGACTGCGGGTTATATGTAGCTACATTTGCAGAGTTTTTGAGTGACCAACTTGTTATACCACCTGATATTGATGGCCATCTAGCAAATTATCTTCGCAATAGATATGCAACATTATTGTTGAGATACGGCAGTGACAAGTTCAAGGGTGGATACATAAGTGAGAATGACGATCCACCAAAGCCTAAGGGTCAATTCATAACACCAACTGAACAAGATTTCGTTAACATAGATTAGTACTTAATAGGGATTGCATGAACAACTTTTCATGTTGTTTTGTTTTGAAGACAAATTCACTTTTTTTTATGTGTTTCTCTAAAAACTTAGTACAGTATTTTGTTATTTATTAAAATTGTGTTTTCACTATATTGCTTTAGATATATTTGTTGCTTTATAACGTTAAGCCCCACAATCATCACTGTTTGACATTAAGTAATCTGATAGTTTACTTACGAAATGATATATATGATACATAAGTCGTAATGTATATTATGCATGAATGTTATTCACATATACCAAGTACATTTATGTATAAGCCACTTAAATTATACGAATGTATATGATACATCATGTAAATCTACAAAAACATAACACAACAAACTTTTAAATTGAACTTCAACACTGCTAAGGTAAAATATATCAAAATTCTAACTGTATCAAATACAATTTTAAGAGTTTTAATGTGTGCTTCATTAATAGTCTTCAGTGTATATGATACATACAAAACACGTTTGCAAAAGTAAATTTTGGGACACTTAATTTTGTTTAAATCATTATCATGGTATTGAATTAATATTTTATTCATTTACACAATAATTATTTTTCGCAATTTATACATTTAGTATAAGAATAATTTTATATTTAATATAAGATTGGCACACTGTTATGAACTAATGCATTTAGTTGAAAAACAAAATAAATTGTTTAAACAATACACTTTATTTAATCCAACTACTAAAAGCGAAAAATACATATAATCGAAGAAAGAAAAACACGAATATCCTATTTTAAAACATTATTTCAATTCTCTTTCGGGAAGAAAGTACAAGTCCTCTTGTTGTGACCTTCTTGTCGACATCGCCCACAAGAATTCTTGTTCACTGTTATCTTCTCATCCGCGTTTTTCTTTCTTCGATTCCTTGGTCGTCCAGCCAACCTTCTGTACCTAGGTGGCAAGACAATTTCATCTAAAACATAGTCTTGAACGGTCCAATCCTCCTTATCTGGCATTGGAACCATTGCAACCTCGTAGGTTTTTTCTAATGCATCCGACTTGTAGTAATCAGAGCAATATGGATGCATATCTGTAACATTCTTGTGCTTCAAAACTGCAATTGCGTGTTCGCAAGGTATCTCATCATATTGAAATCTTCCACACGTACATATTTTCCGCTCAAGGCATACAATGTATCTTCTTCCGGCTTGATAAACTGAAAAAATATATTCAGACGATGGGACAACCTGAAAATAATTAGAAGTTACTGATACATTACATAATATGACATTTACATATCATTTCTCAAACAATGCAAATCAGAGATGTTGATACATCAAACAGAAAAATAGGGGTATTGATAAATACCTTCTTGTTTAAACTTTTAGATGCGTTTACAATCAATACCTCCTCAAATCTTTGGCCCAATGTGTCTTTTGTATATGACGCTATTTCTCTATTTTTATAGTTCCAACTACCAAATAGAAGTCTAGCTTCCTCCAAGAAGTCTATTATAGTTAACCGACGTGCATCAACAAGGCAACCATTGATACACTCTGCGATGTTCGAAGTCATCATTCTACCTCTGTTTACTATTGAATGAACTCTTGACCACTTCTCATACCCAGCATCCTCAAGGTAATCCTTCACCCTATGATCAACTTTCACCACCTTAGCCATTAATTTATCAAAATCTTCCTTTCTGTATGCCTTTGCCATTGAGTAAAATATATCACTTAGTGTGTTTTTACTCCTTTTGAAGTTTGAACATACATTCTTTCAAAGATGCCATATGCATGCACAATGAGGTATATTTGGGAACACAATGCTTACACTTTTCATAATACTTTCATTTCTATCTGATACAATACACATGTTTTCACGCTCGCCAAATACATTTTTGAATTGTTCGAAGAACCATGTCCACGAACAGTCATTTTCAGTGTCTACAACACCATATGCCAACGGTAATATGAAACCTGTTTACAAAGCAGCACATATTTAACTATATTATACATAACTGTTACACTAAGATACATTGATTATACACTGAAAACAAAGTTCAAAATTACATCAGTAGTACAAAAGTCATACCTGCACCATCGAGTGTGCTCGCTGATACAAAAGTACCTTTGTAATCCCCGCCAAAATGTGCAGCATCCACTACAACTACTGGTCTGCAATAGTTAAACCCTCTTATCAATGGCCGTAGTGCTATGAAAAGATACATAAATTGATTATTTTCCATCTTTTGCATCCTTATATATGAATTTGGATACACATTATTTAGCATCCATATGTATCTTGGCATCTGCTTATATCCTTCTGATGGTTTACCCTTTAGCATTTTCAGTGCACGTTCCTTTGCACGCCATGCTTGCTGGTATGATATTTCAACCCCATATACTGCTCGAATATCTTCAATTACATCTTGCGGCGTATGAATTCGTTTATGATTAAACAACTTGGGGGCAGTCACACCACTAATAAATCCAACTGTTGCTTGTACTTTCGTAAGTATCCTATCCCGCATCGAACACATATGTTCATTTTTAAAGTACCTCACTTTGAATACATCAGATTTCTTTCTGCACGAAGACCTTAAAGTCCACCCACATTCATCACTGAAGCAAACTAACACATAGCTGTACACATTTTTCATTAGATTAAGTCATATAACAAAAACACTGTTAAAGTTTTCCACAACTAATGTAACTGTAATAATAAAGAATACAACAATCATAATAACAATCATAATACTTACCATTTTGTTTAAATCATCAAACACCAACGAACTTATCAATACAATACATATACTAATTAGACTAATGTATCAAACACAATAGAAACTAGAATTATACTAATTATATGCATAAACTGAAGAAAAACAAATCAAATTAGAGCTAAAACAGTCCAATACCTTTTTTTATCCGATCTTTTCACTCTGAAATTGAAGTTGTTCTTTATTTTATATTTCGCCATTACAGCGATGAGTGTTCCTTTATCCTTATACAACTGGCATATCTTCACATCAGTACTATTGGAATCAGTTATGTAATTTGTAGCATTCAATTCTGGAATATAATCTAAATCACAAATTCTCAATTCGACCAGAGCAAGAGCTTCAGTATCTCTTTCTGTACCTTCCACACATATGATTTCACCGGATGAACAATTAAAGTTATGTATCTCCCCAACCATTTTCTCAGTTGTATCAATACATAACGGATACATGCCGATTCCAGGCTCATTTCTTCTTACTTCCAAATAAAGTTTCACACCCATGTCGTTCCTGATTTTCAATGGACATGTGTTTCCGTCTATGATGTATCGAATTTCAATATCTTTTCTAACACCGTCGATCTCCAACTCTGCTAAAATCAACGCTTTCAGATTCATAAATGAAATTGATTCTCCAACAACAATTCCATCAACCTTGTAACCTTCGTAATTAACATCGCTTACCCAAATTCCAGAATGTCGTAATAAAATTGTGATATTCATCGTCTAAAGCTATTTTTTTCGAGTTCTTAGAATGTAGATCCACTTTATCATGATAAATTTGGTTAGCTGAAGGAGCTTTGATTTGAAATTTGAATTTATCAATCAGTTACGTAAGGGAATTGAAGATTTACAGTCTTTCAGGCGTGAATTATGGGATTTATAGTTATTAAATCAAATCTACGTTATTGTTTCCTTCTGAAACGCAACAACTATTAACTGGAATGTATCAAACCTTATGTATCCCGTGCACAACGCTATGTATCCCACAAACAACATTTTTAAGGGATTTTTGTAAATAAAAAACTAGAAGGGATAGGATGTTATTTAGTACTTATAATATGTGGTTTCTATAATTTATACAAACTTTATTTTACCTACTCTATACTTTTTTTTCTTGTCTATATCTAACGAGTTTCCTAATTCCTATACTTCATCTATATTCATGAATCAATAATTTGCACTCTAGGTCTATAAACCTTTTGAGTCTACTTTCCGTTCCTAGTAACTTTTTTTGGAATACTAACACCTTTGTACAACTTTCAATAATTATAACATATGTTTGATTGTTCAGCATGTAATGCTGAAAAAGTTAAATAACATTTCAAAACTGTGTAATATGTTTTCCATTCCCTAAAATGTTGTATGAAGGTGTCAGTATCCCTAAAATGTTACTTGGAATGGAAAGCAGACTCAAAAGGTTGAGATTATGGACCTAAAGTGAAACTTCTTGATCATAAATAGAGATGAAGTATAGGAAAAGTATTGGAATAAGGAACTCGTTAGACATATACACTAAAGAGAAGTATAGAGACTATTTAATAAAGTTTTACTCACATACTAATTAAAAACGTAAATATTCAAGCCAAAACCTTAAAAACGTAGTTAAATGGCTTGGACAACCTCTTCAAAAATGAAAATAAAAAGAATACAAACCTAAAATAGAACAAGAGAAAAATGATTCATCAAAAATCTTACAATCGTGTTAGCAACATCCCTTGGTTTACTTAAAGCAACAATTTGTGTTAATTAGCACCATTGCCTTCAAACCACTTTACTTTTCCCGTGAACCTTTGGAAGAGTGTATCAACAAATGAAGATAAGTGTAAGAAAAATCAAAAATCATTTATATAAAAATTAAAAGAAAAAAATAAAAATATCCCCAAATTATAGATCAAACATTTCTACATTATTTTTATTTCACAAAGAAAAAGGGAATTAAATGAATAGAATAGGGAGCTTTACAAGATAATAGAGAATTACAATTGAAATATACCAGGACTAAAGTTAGATTGAAATCATTCAAATAAAGTTTTTTCATGACACACATTTATTAAGAAGCGTATGCCATCCAAAAAAAATATGAAATTTATCATGTATCCTATACAAATATTTAAAAGATTAAAAATTTTGCCATGATTTCTCAAAAATGTCTCCTTAGTGATGGAATTGAGGAAAACAATCGAGCGAATAAATTATCATGATATATCGAAAAAGACAAAATCGCTCCACAAAAACTTAAAAGCGATTTTTTTTCCTTAAAAAAAGGTCTTGGATTGTGGATTATATATATAGAGGATACAACACATGACTTAAATGGAAAAAATCAAGTAAAAATAGTTGTTCTAAGTGAATGAACAAAATGAGAATAATCCGAAGAAGGAAATTTGGTTGTTTGAGGTTTAAAGAAAGAAATTATTACATTTAACCACAATCAAACATTATATAAACTAAGAAAAAAAAATGACTAGTCATAAATTACTTTTTCCGCATTTAGATTATCTATAGAATAATTATACTTTTGCATTGACATGACGTAATCAGTGACATAGACAAAATTTTGTGAATGGTGTTCTATCTTTGGAAAACTAAACACTCCTTATGTCCTAATTTGTGTGAAAGGATCAGAGTATGAGGGTCAGAACACTTAATTGTGATTTTTAATACAATATATATTCTTCAACCAAATTAAAATAAAATTTATATATTCAAAAACTACACAAAAAATACTATAAGTCGAAAAAATAATTAATGGTTCAAAATATAAAAGTTTGAGAAATTGTGATTAATAAATTATTTGAGACTCTAAAGAGTAATATCCTCACATAAAAAGGAACACAACGAGTAAGAAGAGAGTTAATCAAATAATTTACCATGATATATAATAAAAGAGAGAATCACTCTGCAAAATACTTAAAATCAAAATTATGAAAACATGTATGGACTTGTTGATTTATATAAAGGATACATGAGTGATAGGGAAAAAAAACTATTACAACAAGTCAACGAATAGAAAAAGAATGATCTAAAGAAATAAATCTTATTGTTTGAGATTACTTTCCCCGCATCTAGATTATCTATTGAAATATTATAATTTTACATTGACATGATGTAATATACTCAATGATGTAATTAGTAACTATGACATAATTGGTGACGTAATCAACAACATAATTCAGAATATTCTAAAGAGTGTTCAAATTTTAGATAAACAAATACTACTTTTTTAGACCTTGGCTGAGTCACTGATTGTATCATAGCTTCATCTAGCCAACATTCTTCTTTTTCTTTGCAAATATAAAAAGTTAAAATTAAGTTTCAATGGAGTTTAATGTTATTTTCATGTCCTTATTTTCAAAATCTTATATGCATGACTAGATGAAGATTTGATAAACGTTCTTCGATAAATACCTCCCATAGTTAATATACATTTCGAAAAAAAGCTTGAGCAATTCAAATGAGAATATGCTCAATGCAATGTCTAAAAATTCAGATTATCAATTTACTTAATACATAAATTACTTACATTGATGTATACATATTTTTTAGGATCTATGAATCATAGAATGTATATATTAATTTAGGCATTTAGCATGGTGCCTTTTTGAGTGGTTTGTCAACCTACAAATAGGGTTGTCATTAATCATTGTGAGATATACTTGAAGCCATTTGAATGAGATGATCTCTACATTCGACTATCTATATCTCTTAGTATTGCTTATATTTTACAACACTTCATTAGCACGAAGTTTTAACCAATTTATCTTCTCTTAGTTTAGAACAAGGTTGAGCCTCTATTGTTTCTTTCATAACTCTGTTTTGTTGAGGAGTTCTAGGAGCGGAGAAATTGTGATATATTCCATGTTATGCACAATATTCTAAAAATTTAACATTTTCGAATTTTGTGTCATGGTCAAATCGAATACTTATAACTTTAGACTTCTTTTGGACCAGTTTCACAAAGATAGTAAAAAATTCAGAGGTCTCATCTTTTGAACTAAGAAATACAGTCCAAGTGAATTATTTGGTGTAATCATCAACACTAATGAAAACATACCTCTTATGTCCTCTGATGAGAACCCTCGTCGATCGGTCAACACAGGTCCATGTGTATATATTTTGATGTACTTACCTTCTTCAGTTTGAAAGAAGAGGTGTTTCACTTTGGTTCATCACATATCAAGTTTTCACTAAACTTTGTGAAATGACATTCTCCTGCTATAAATAGTACATTTTTTTCTTTGTTGCACATTTGGAAGACACTCAGTAGATTGTGCTTCAGTTCTAGAACATAATAGACATCTTTAATATTGGCATGTGGCTATGACTTTCCACTTTTTCGATTCCAACAATTTCTCCTTTCTTCTTTCCATTTTCAAAGGCTACACTTCCGCCTTGGAAAACTGTGAGTGAGAGGAAATTCTCTCGCATTTATGTCATTATATTTGGAGCAAGCAGTGTCCAAATACCAAGTTTTGTTTTCTCCTCTAACTTTCACCTGAAACAATATCAAAGGTTAGCTTTGGGTATAAAGATCAACTAGCTAGGGGTCCCTTTTTATTTGTACATGGATGGATAAGATTTTTTTTTCCTGGAAGAGATTTTTGTTTTAGGGTTAGGGTGTTTTTCTTTTTAATGTAATTAACATTTTTTTGAAAGGATTTGGACTGAGCTTGAGATGTGTTTCGTAGGTCGCCAGATCTTTCACAATGAGTGCACACAGATTCAAATTTGTGATTGATGTATATGACAAAAAAAATTCTATTAAAACCTATTCCATTTTTTATAGTCTGCCTTTTTTGAATATGAGACACATTTTAGAGAACCTTGTCCATATGAGATTTTACTCCAAATCAAGTTTGAACTAGAGATTCCAAAAGAATAAAGATCAATTATGGTCTAAAGTTCTAAAAAATAATAAGATTTTAATAAACAAATACATCATCTTTGCACCACTACGAAATACTTGACCTTAAACAATCACTCCATGGTGCCAACATCTATACTGGCTCCAATCATTCTTTGGAATTTATGGGAAAATAGGAATAGTAAACTATATCACAACAAGAATATTAGTAGGATTCCTAGCACCCTCCGCAATATTTCCTTCCAAGCCATTGAATACTACCACTTGTCTTATTCCCCACCAAAAAAAACCCCCCACACATATGACACCAGTGTACTGGCACAAACTCCCCGGAAGAATCCTAAAATTAAATTTTGATGGCTCGTATAAATTACATTCTACTAATGGTGGAACATGAGGAGTATTAAGGGCAACTGGATTGTGGGCTTTTCATGCAAAGTTAAATCTCAAAATGCCCTTCATGCAGAAATACTAGCTTTGCTCCACGGCCTAACTCTAGCGCAAAGTAGAAATATGAAGCAATTACTGGTGGAAATCAATTCTCAGGTATTACTTAACACCTTAATCACATGGTAATAATCTCAGCTAGCTACTCACACATTTATGCTGATTGCAGGTCGATCGATACTCCTACAGTTGAAGGGGTCAGCCATGAAGCACACCCCGAGGGAGGCTAATAAGGTAGCAAATTTACTAGCACTATACGAAAGGAAAACAAAGGATCCACATATGATATGTAATCAACCCTATGTTTTTGATGCATCTCTTTCTCTTGTAAAATATGCTCTCGAAAGAGATTCTATGGGAACTGCATCATTTAGATCAGTTCCTCCTTTTTATGGATAAAACCTTTCTA